AGAGAGAGAGAGAGAGAGAGAGAGAGAGAGAGAGAGAGAAGGATGCAGCTGGCCTGGAGTGGACAGGCTCCGGAGTCTGCACACTACCAAATGTGCGGGCAATGCCATCTTAAAGAGGCTAAAGAAGTGGTTTTCCTCCACTACACTAGACTATAGATTCCTTATGAGGAAAGAGGATGGTGGCAGCACATTGACCAAATAGGTGATACAACATGGTAAGCAGCGAGGAGGATTCATCCTTCAAAAAAGTTACCATGTTAATCATGGCATTATGAATCCTGCATATTCAACTACTGAAGAACCCAGAATTTCAAAACGGCAGTACAAATATTTTAAAACTCCAGAAGTTAGCCTTGTGCAGTTGACATATTATGTCAGAATGTACTTCTCCTGTCTCCACCATTGATTCACTTTTTTTTAAAATTGCAGATTAATTCAAATATAATGCATGTGAAATATTGTAATTCCATCATTTAGCTGTGCTTATGGCTAGATGTTAATGAATCTGTGTGTACACAACTTCTAAGACAAATTTATTTACTCTGAAATTCAGTGTCCAAAATTGAAGACAGCACTCCATCTGTGGTATGTGTAAGCATTTGTAAACAGAAGCGTGATTTCCTCATTTTTTGAATTCCAACTCCCTTGCGATAAAGACCAATAATTCATTCACATTGTTTTGATTATACAGTGTGTTGTGTCCGTGATTTTATTTTGTGATTTATGTAATAATACTTAAATTTCTTGGATCCTCCATAGCTCCCAGTCTCACAATTCGAACATTTTGATATCTTTTTCACATTCAAAGTGGATGACCTGACACTTCCCTTCATTGCACACCAATTATTGTAGGTTTGCTAATTCACATAACCCGTCAATTATCCCTTTATAACTTAATTCTCCCATCCACAAAATGTATTGTACCTCCCAGCTTAGAGTTATCTATAAACTTGGATCATCGACATCTACACATGTACCATGACAGATCCCCGAGATGATACTACTTCTCGTGTACTTATTCTTTCGCCCCACATCAGTTTTCTTCAGGGCTCAGGAAAACCTGATCTGCATACTTTCACAGCTCACACCCTACCCACTTGTTACATCACATGCCATTTTTGTCATTTCACCCTGCGCGCAGAACAATATACAAATCCATGCCGGAATGCAGGAGAAATGTGGATGCAGAGTTGAATCAATTATAAGGTCTGCCTTGGTTCTCCACACGTTATCCCAGTGTTTAAACAGTATTTAAAGACTTCCTAAACATCTGTAACAGAGGGCTGGTCGACACCACTATGATAATTAAAACCAAAATTAAAACTGGGAAGCTCGCCTCGCCTCGTAATCGGTTAAATGAAGTGTGAAAAGTGGTATAACCGGCCTCTCACCCCAATCTGTTATAAAAGAGTGGTTAAATGAAAGAAATCCCTAAAACTTCATAAGCAACAAGTAACAATTTATTTATCTAACTCTAACAGTGAACAAAATAACAGAACTACTAACAAAACCAAATAATTCCCCCTTTAACTACTAACTATTCCCAAACAAAAAATTGTAATGGTATGCTGTTCTAATAAATATAAGTCATACTTATATAAACCAAAGTTTATTTTTTTTCTTACTACTTTGTCTCTCAAAATTATAGCCAGGATAAGTCTTCTGGGATGTTCTTTGTCTTCTCCACTATTTTCCACTCAGGAACGCCTTTCACCGTCGAATTCATGTTTCAGGAATATTAGCTAAGAGTGCTGTAATACCTTTATTTAGATAGTGCTTACTCTGAGAGCTTAGAGATTTCTGTAAGAGCCAGTGAATTTCTTTTCAGACGGCAGTTTGCTCTCACCCTGATTTTCAAATAACTCTTCTTTTAGACCATTGATGATCTATCAATTTCTTACAATAGGATTGATCCTATGTCATTAAAACCATGACATTTAAATTTAATTGGTTTTTACCCTCCAAGTGCCTGGTTTAAATTAATTGGCTGATATTCAAACTGGTCGCCTTGATAACAAAACAAACTGCAGCTTTTTTTTCTAACCATACAGACTTTGATACAAATGTTTCAATTTTAAGAATTCTCTGTGCATCTGCAGACTTTTTTTTAAATCTCCAAGCCTAGAAAAGCACATCATCTTTTAAAGGGACCACACACTAATCCCCCCTGTCATTTTACAAACAAATTCTAATGTTCTGCCTTCCTATCCACAAATACTAGAACCAAATTTGCAACATATCTCACCTCCTATGCAAACCATTTCGCAACCCACAACCCCTCAGGTCACCCTTGCTAATTCTATACATTGACACATGTCCTCCATGC